TGCCCCATAGAATTTAATGGGGGACATTTTGTAGCGGTTTCCCACAGGCCTGGCAACTCGCGGCCAATTTGCGCGTGTCAATGAATAAGAATAAGGTATTAATATTGCCATCGCCTCATGAGATCGATTCACGTGACTCTTATCGCGGTCTTTGCGTTCCGATTTTCAGATAAAAGCAGAAAATCATTAATATTGACGGAGAGAGAGAGAGAGAGAAAGAGAGAGAATACAGACGAAAGATTTGTATCTGTAATATAAATGTGTTATAAATTTAGCGATATCGCGGAATCGTAATTATAAGTACGTTCGTTTATAATACATCGACAATGCAATATATAAATATAAATATTCCGACAACTATAATTCTCTAGTATATTTATCTCCAAATCCAAACTCGTTCGCGCGTAGCGAAACACGACAGAATCTGTAAAAAATTAAAAGCTACGATTAATTACAGAACGACGTAGCGTAACTGTTAATTAAACGTCGAGGTAATCCTTTCACTTTACGGCACCTTAAAAATTAATCTTCCGTCGATTTGTCCATTTAATCCCCGAGATTAATATCTCACGCCGTTGCTGGCCCTCCAACAACTTGACCCTGCAATTCTACGTGAGGACGCGAGAGGGTGACTGCTGTGAGAGGGCTGCAGGGCGGGGCATCCCTTATCAGCGGTGAACACTCGCACAGCCTCCATCTCCTCGTTTCAATAGCGTTCTGCTCGAAATCTCAGCAACACTTTCACTTGTATATGAGTATCACCCTTAGATAGCCATCTTAGAATATTGTTGCAATAGCTAAATATTGGGTTAAATAAGAAATTCTATTTATTCTCTTTCCAATAATTAAGCAAATATTACGACGCAGTGACGAAGATAGTATAAAATGTCAAATTCAGAATTAACTATAATTAAATTAAAGCAAATTAATCATAAAATAATTTTACATGAGATATTGCCTGTTTTTAAGTTCTGCTTCTCTAACATTTTATTACTTGATCACAACGTTCTACGTAAGTTTCTACTACTTCACAAATTATTAAACTACAAATTATCACTTTTCTCTGAACGCATCAATACAGATACACATTTTTGTTAGAATAATTCACAAATTGTTTTTATAATTTTTGTACTTATATAAATATTATAAATTACATGAAATTGTATTCTAGCAAAACCTAAAAAGCCGTCGTTGAAATATTAAAAAATCGTTTCATTTTTTTCATAAATTCTTTATAAACCTTTTTTCAATATCTTCCTGTATATTTTTGAAATTCAAGGTTCTCGCCTGGTGAAATATCATCATAGATTCGTGCCACAATTTTATAACGACTCAGTATCCTTATGTAACTTTTGTTTAGCGGAATGTGAGAGGACCATTGATTTTCGTTAACAGAGTTAAATCATTTCTTGAATGGGTTAAACCGGTGTTCTATCGGGCACGTGTGGCTTATTGGGGTCTCGTCGGGATGTGCCGGTGGGAGAGAGGCGTGTCGCCAGTTTTGCGCAGCGTCCCATGAACGTCAACGCGCTCGACTGGAGCATCCCCGTGCCATAGGGTGGTCGAGGGGGACGCGAAGGGTGAAATCAATTTTCGTTATCGCCGTCAACCAGCCGCCCCACACTAATCCCATTATTAGTGTTTGTTTTCCACGTGTGGCACTTGCGTCCGCTGACATATCGATCATCGAAACGCGCGTTTTATATATAAGATATTTAGAATAAATATTAACTCTCTGCGTTGAGAGTTACGCGATGATGTTACGATGTCACAAGTACTTCTGTATCAATAAATTGTAATAAAGTTAAAATAAAAGAAAATTTTAGAGATAATTATATGATGTAAAAGGTGAAATATTATATAGTACAATATTCATCATATTCTTGATAAAAGTAAGATATTTCAAAATTATTTATGTAAATATTCATATAATCACAATGCATGTATTTAATATCAGCGAGTAATAAATAGACTTTGGGATTATAATGCATTTCCTATATGTATTGTTTACAGAATTGGGTAGTAACTAGTTAAAACGTTAAAAGTTAAAAAAAAAGTTAGAGTTAATAACTTTTAACTTAACTTAGTTAATTTTAAATGCATTAAATTTTAATTTAACTAAGTTACTTTTAAACTTTTTGACTTTTTTTTTAAGTTAGAAAATTTTTTTATCTCTTTTAAATATCTTAGAAAAATAATAAGATATAATAAGACTAAGAGCGCATATTCGTAATCTGTTCATATTTTAAGACCATCTTAAGTAATTACTTAAGATGCTAATACAGCCCTCTGAATTTATGCCGTTATTATGCCATCCCAGATAATATTTATGTTGCATAAGATATCTAAAAGACGTTTTTCAGATATCTTTTAGACATAAGACGTCTTTTAGTTATCTTATGCAACATAAATGTTATCTAGGAATAGCCTTAGTCCGAATTTACAATAGGTTTTAAGCCTTAAGTCATAAAAAATTGACCAATTACAGTCGAATATTCTTCTCGTATTCGATCGTAATTGATCAATTTCTTATGGCTTAAGATTTATTAAAAAGTAAAAACCTAAAAACCTATCTGGTTATCTGCAAGTCGCAAATCGCGCCGATGTGTCGAAGCCATTAACGCTCATGCGCTTTAAGCACATTAGCGTCCAATGCAGCCATAGTCTATGCTTATTAAATTATATCACATGTGAATAAAAAAATTGAAAATTTAATTTACTTAATAATCTATATTGTAATTATTTAATCTCATTTTAAGAAAAATTAGGACATTTTGATCTAAAAAATAATTTTTTTCCAAATTAATTTACCCAACCCTGATTGTTTGTGTATATAATATATTATAACTATATATATTATAACTATTATCAATATTATATTTAATTATTTTTTAGCTTCTGGACACATCATAATTTCTGATAAGATCTGAATAAATTTGATATTTAAATACAATCGTTTAATGGATCGTTTTATTTTCAACAATTAAGTTTATTGTCCAATAATATATTTCAATTTGTATTTTAATGTATCGATCAATAACCTTATTCCTTAACACTAATTTCAAGGTTGAAGTTTTACAGTATTAGATATGATATCTCGCTCATCATGACCTCGTATCACTCGAAGCACATTTATAAGTAATCTAGAGTATTTGCAACAGTTAGTAACAATTATGCAACGTGTAATCTCAGTATTATACACACACGCACACACACACACACCCATATATATATATATATATATATATATATATATATATATATATATATATATATATATATTTATTACATCAATCAGATAATTATACATATATACATATACATATATATATAATAAAGATATAATTTTTAATTCTACTCTTTATATAATCGGAGCTTCATCTTCGAATTCGTCTTCTAATCATAATATTTTGAGATTAACTGCGATCTTATTCAGTCTTTAATATATATAATTCAGCGATTCGCTAATTGAATTAATTAAATCACAAAACCACTGACTTTCGATCACAGCTGCTGCCGACAATTTCAAAATGGTTTCTTATCATATCTATACACATCCTATAACCATCTACACGTTTACAGTATAGAATTAATATAACTATATAAAATACTATAAAACTTCTAGGATGCAAGTATTTGCAAAGTATAATTTAGATTTATTGTTATAGTGTTCTTTTACCAAATGAATATAATTATTCAACAAGTTCAGGTAAATTTTATAGATTTCCTATGTATATAGAATTAATCAAACATAACATGACGATATTAATTATTCTATTATAAAAATATAGAAATCCTTATTTTATGTCACGTCAAACATTATATATATGCAATCAAGAATATTTTATATTGAATGACACTGATTTATCAAATACTTTTTTTGTTTATTTAAATTAAATTATTAAATTATTTAATTTAAGCAAAAAAAGAGGATCTATAAAGCCGTTTTTTTTGCCTCCAAAGCCAATTTTTATTATTAAATAATTTTTTATATTATATGATCATTCAAAATGTCCAAAATAATCACTATGTGAGAAAAAAACTCGACCAAAACTCTATTAATTATTATTCTAGATATACCAACAATAATATCTAATAAGTTCTTTTCAGGACTAATACTGATAAAATATTATCGTTCAATACTGCTCTCATAACATTATTTTAGACTATTTATCGTTTCCAATGTGAAGATAAATACAGCTCATAATAAAAAAATAAATTTTATTACTCTTGACACATAGATACCTATTAAAAGATTCACAAATAAGTGATCACTATTAGTTGCCTATAGACGTAAGTCTTTGTACCGTAACAGACATTATAAACGTTTTTTTATTTCTTTGTATTTAAAAATTTTGTCACAATAATTGATATACAATTAAGGTACCCGGTAATGATCGCATAATCTCTCGTGGGCAAGTAGAGCAGACTAAACTGAGTTGAAAAGTCCTGTATCATTTTACAATTTTCGCTATAATTAATATAATAAGATATTAATTTCTGAAGATTGAAAAATAAGCGGATAAAATCAATGAACAAAACAACTTTAAGATATTAGTGGTATATCTAGACTAATAATTAATTAGGGGTTTATGGATCGAGTTGTCTTCCATATGATGGTATTTCTTATAATCATACAGTACAAAAAAATTATTTAATGGAAGTCGATTGGTAATCAAAAAACGATCTTATTGACTCTTTTTCTTTGATTTAAATATCGAATAACTGATTCCGAAAACATCTTTCGAAACTTATTTATAGTTTTACTATAAATATATACATATATTATAATATAATAGAATTATTTAACGAAAATCTATACACATGGTTACCTAAAAAAGTACAATCACAGCACAAAAAGAATTCATAAATATTTACTACTAGAAATATGTAAAACTTATATTAGAATATTAGTATAAAAAGTTGTAAATTATTATTATTATTATTATTAATATTAGTATTAGTATTAGTATTATTATTATATATTAGTATTATCATCCTTCTTTTATCAAATGATTTTGGTATAATAATGGTATTATTAATCACATTAATCGAAAAGTGTTACGTAAGTAGTGTCGATAAATCTGCTAATGAAAAGCGAAACAAAGGATCAACAAAGGCACCATAATGACACAAATGGTGTAAACCATCGTTCTTGGTTCACATACAGACACACCAATATATTCATCATTCCATTGCGAATCATTTCCACTTAATGGTAATTCTAATACCGTCCTTTCATTACTAAATATTTTAAACGGTAACGAGCATTCCTTCGTACTGTTTTTACATGCGTGCACAGGATTCGAGGTATTGTAGACAGTCTTCAAAAGATCGAATTTCACCCTCACGTAATTAGGTTGAATTTCATTTTCCGAATTAAAAACAAAGAAATAATACCCATTTAGAGGTACTCTACAATCAAATAATATAGAATATTTTATAAAAATATATGTTTTTATGTGTGTATACGATTAACATAAAGCAGTATCTTCATTTTAAAAACAAGTATTTATTTAAACTAGGTTACTGAAAAAAGACTCATAAAACATTAATTAAGACCGTTAAATAGAAGTAATTAATAAAATTCAATTAACAATAAATAAATCCATTCTTATTTTTAAGCAGACAATTAACGCAAACAATAATTTTTTCACCTACCTATATGTTACCGTATTGGCAAAGGAAGCCGTAGAATGATCACTTTCGTGTTTGGGTGTACAAAAACGATGTGGTGTTAAAGGTAAATTCAGGATAAGACCTTTGCATTCCAATAGCCGTTCTTCGGAACTGCTAAACGAGCTCCAGAACTCAGAATTACTTCTATCGTTCAAAGTTGTTTCGTTTACGGTACCTCGATCCTCCGCAATGCCATCTGGATGCAACATATCCTGAAAGAGAATTAACATACTTTAATATTCTTTATGTGTTGCTTTAATTTGACAGAACAATTTTTTTAAAGATCCATTCTTTAGTTTGCTTTTCGAATTTAAAATTATTATACATTTTAAAAATAAGCAATATATATATTTTAATATTTAAATATATTTTACTATAAACTCAGAGTTAAAAATAAATTTCGGATGACAAATAAGCGAGAATCATATTTGCACTTTGCAAGAAAATGTTTTGTCGCAATATCTATAAAGGCAGTGTTACAGATAAGATTAATAACACATCATTATGTGATTTATATTGTATCTCACTACAAACAAATAACTATATAATGGAAAGATCCACTGATTTAAGAGCAACTATGTGCAATTTCTACGCAATTTCTAATTCTGCGAATATAACTGAAGAAAAGGCTACGCTCTGCTCTTCACCGATTTTGATTAAACTTGCAGCGATGTTAGGGGAGCCTATTAAATGAATATCTGTAAAGTTGTTCCCGCTAATGAACCTTACAAGCCGAGTAATGGATATTTAAAAATATACCAAAAATCTAAAAACAATCCAATATCTCAGAAAATACGCATTTTTGAGAAAAATGTCTTAGACAAAAGTGATAGGGTTTAATGAGATGTATTTATTGGTTACAAGGTTAATCTTGACATGATGATATCACCCAAGGTCGAACCAATAAAATCAGTAAATACATCTTATTAAACTCTATCATTTTTGTCTAAGACATTTTTCTCAAAAATGCATACTTTCCGAGATATTAGATTATTTTAAGATTTTTGGTATATTTTTAAATACTCGGCTTCTAAGGCTCATTAGCGGAAATGGCCTTACAGGTGTTCACTTGGTAGACTCCTCTAATATTGCTGCAATTTTGATCGGTGAAGAGCAGAGCGTAGTCTCTCCTTGTGAGACATATCTTTCTACTCATTATTACAAATGGTGAATTAAAATCCATTGTTCAAATCATTGTTTTAACCCGGAAATAGTCAGCTAATTGCTTTTTACATTTTTCTACAATCACTCAAAATATTTTTACATTTCCTACAATTAAAAATCGTTATCATAATTACATATTGTATTTATATTATTGATTGTTTTATTTAATATTTTAGATCATTATATATCTGGAGACACGGTAGTGTCTCGACGCTAAGATATGGTGCTAAGATATGGTGCTCCTTTACGTAAGCCAGATCGAGATTATCGGATCTCAATACGTATTTACTGAATGATTTTTAAAAAATAGTAAAAATAAATTTTTTTAATGTGTATGGATTCCTGAGTAGATAAAGAAAACACTATTATGACTGATATGAACTTAATTTTTCCTTACTATTGATACTGTTGATATAAAAATAAGTTACCCTACATAGGTGATTATTCTCAAGTTGATAGAGGACAGTATATTATCAATAATGAAAATAATATTATTTTATTAATATATTTTCGTGCATTATTTTTGAACGATGGAAATTCTTTAGTGAATTTTAATGAATTTTAATGAAACTTTCCTATATAAACCTCCCAGTCGACACTAACTAAAAATAACATAATATCAATGTTATAATTTCGCTCTTAACTATATATTATAAATGTAATATAAATGTACTATATAATGTAACACATGTTACATAACAGTTACATTGTTGATTGTGAAAATAACAATGACTTTTATGTTACTTTTAGCTGCTATCTGCTCTATTGTTTTTAACATATTGAAAAAAATTTATAAAATTTTAATAAATATTTGTTCGAATAGTATCAACTAAACTTATAGTAAATAAATATTTACTTAATAAAAAACGATACTTAAATCAAATAAATGGTTTTTAATTGTACCAAATAAATATATATTCATATTATAAATATACAATCAAATACTATTTAAATGAATATTTATTAAAATTTATAATTTTTTTTGTATAGGAAATCTATAGGATTGTATATCTATAAATGATTCTAGAGTAATTATAATTTATTACATTTTAGATTAATAATTTAAAACGCAAGAAATATGAAATAAAATTTTTACCTCTTCTATCGCTGCGTTGCCATCTTCATCTTCCTCCGTTAATTCTTGATAAAGTGGCGATGAAAGCACTAAATCTCTTCTTCTTCGCCGTTTAGCTTCTCTCGACAATTTCTTATCATTCATCGTATCGTTCACCAATTGTTTTAATGCAGCACCTTTGGCACCGGCTTGCATGTCAATCGTATCCATTAATTTATGCAATATCTCTTTCCCGCGATCACCGAAAGAATTAATTTTTCGTAAAACATCTTGAAAAATTTCCTCAGAGTTTGTCTGTTTAGTTTCCAATTCTTCTTGCTCCTTCACGATTTCTTGTGCCATATTAGATTCCATCTGCTTGATGGATATTGTAGAATTTGGATGCGAATTAGGCAAAAACGTGGAATTCTGTTGGCTCTCAGATTCATTGTAATTGTACTGTTCTTCTTGAAAAGAAACTGGTATTTTTGAAGGCGTTGGCGTGAATCTGGAACAATTGAGTACATAATTTTCAATTATAAAGAAATAAAAATAAGAAAAGAAATTTAATTATACATATATAAAAAAGACAACGTTACAATCTGCAGAATTTAATTAATTTAATTAATAATACATTTAATGTTAATTTTTCAACTAATAAAAGAGAAAAAGATTGAAATATTTATTATGGTATAATTATTAAGATATTAATCAGTAAAAAAAATAACGCACTTTGTGCTATTTTTTGATATTTTTTTATTATTATCAAATCTGCTTATTGATTCTTCTTGAAGCTGATCTTGTGAATTTCTAGGATGAGCTGTCTCATTTGTCACTGGTTTATCCATATTGATGATATCCCTGAAGACTGCTTCATAATGATGATGCAGATTCTTTTTCTGTTTCTTCTTTGTGTAATCGGTCTTGGCCAAAAGTTGGGTGAGGATATTTCGCATTGTTTCAGGGTCCAATTCGTGACTGCTCTGATGTGTATATGATTTAGAAATATTCAAACGAAGAGTTTTATCTTCATGATAAAAATGTACGTCTTGGTCTGCTCGTCTCATTTTGTCAGGTACGTTGCTAAGACGCACTGTCTGTAATAAAAAAAATATAGCTTAAATAAAAGTGTTTTATACATCTTTAAAAGAAAAATCTATTTTTGAGGGAAAGAATACCTCCGTAGTGCTCTTTACATCAAGAAGACCTTCTTCCTTAACGATTTCGATAAGTTCCTCGAGTTCCTCGCTGCTATCATCTCCGATAAAGGCGCATTCATGAAGATTTTTGAAGCCACGAATTATTGTTAAAGAAGCGCCAGGCCATCTAAAAACAGTAAAGCATTCATATCTTTATAATAGAATAATGTAAATAATTAAATTATTATTGTATATTATTATATCTTAAAACGTTAAAATAAATTTTTTAAATAAGAATGAGAGAATTAAGTGAATATACATATAAGCAATAGTTATTGCATATAGGTGACGAAAATTCTTTTTTTCTTAAATTTTATTACAAGATAAGCTCCCATTTTTATTTATAACTCTTCTACCTTACACAAGTTGAAACAGTGACACTACTGCCATGCAAAAGATAGAATCCCCAGTACTCCTTCATGTCGTCCTCCATAATGAGGTGTCTTGTCATCGAGATGGGTATTGCTTCTTTTTCAACCATCGGCTCGTTACTCATGAGATACGCATTGAACGTGGCATTAACTTTGATCACTTGACTCTACAAATAACAATTTATTTATCATCAATTTCAACTTTAGCTTCTTGAAAAAAAGAAAAAAGAAGAAAAAAAGAACAAATACAATTTATTACAAAAGATTACTTGTAATAAAGAAGACTTATTTAGACTCAATTTCACAACTTATTATTGATTCTTGATCGAGGTTCAATTTATTCCTTATTTTTTTCCAATTCTAGAATTGGAAGGAAATGAAAAATAAATTGAATCTCGATTAAGAATTAACCATGAATTGTGAAACTGGGCCTTAGTTCAAATATCGCACTTATATGTATATAAATATAATTTTTATTTAAACTTACTGTATTTTATTAAAAGAAAAAGTTATATTTAATTCGTAATAATTAAACATATAATGATTTAGGGTAAAATTAGTGATACAGATTTTCTTTCCTCTCTGTCTCTCTCTCTCTTAGGATTTAATTAATAAATTTTTAAGAATTCTAAGAAAGAAAAGTTAAGAATAAAATATTAATAGTAAAATGACTTACTTGACACCAAACGGTAGATACTTTGCTGTCGATTAATCTTTGATCTGATATTGCTAAAGCATATAATTGCTCGGAATATACGCGGTATCTTAGATATAATGGTCCAACAATGAATGCGAGTGGTAAAAGCATTCCCAGCAAACACAATCGCATCACTCTAAAAGGTACTTTATAACTTGATTTTCGCGGTTGCCAATCTCGTGGACGAATACCATCCTCTGCAAAAAATGTTATCGATATGAAACATCTCATTATTAATCTTCTGCGAATATTAATGAGATTAATCTTTAATATTTAATTTTGTTTTTTTAAATTACATTAATATAGCGTTTAAAATCTATTTATAGTAACTTCTAAATATGATAATTTCATTTCTATTTATCTTTTTTTATAAGTACTAAAATAATGTTAAATAACGTCGTATAACATCTTAATATCTTATAATAACATCTTAATGACTTTAACGTCAATGAGATGTCATGAACACATTATTTTACAGTAAAATTTAATTTATATATATATATTAAAACCGATTTATTTCCCATTCTAATTCAATTCTCTCAAATTCTCTTTATACTGAGAAAAATATTAAAAAATTAAAAAATGTTTTTAAAAACACTATAAATGCGATATTTTCAAAATTATCTTCTTTTTTGCAAGAACTTTTATGTAGAAAATTAAAAGTGAAAGATGGTAGAGAGCTAGAATTAAAAGTAAAGATATGAGAATACCATGCAGCTTTCTTTACATGAGTTAACAATTATTGATTCTTGATGTTGAAACTAGTAATTTTTAAAGTAGACTAATTAAGCGTATCAACTTCCTCAATATGAAATGTAGCGCATGTAGAAGATATAATTCTTTATCATTATTATCTGCAACGACAATCCATAAGATATGTCTTTGTTTATGTATGTTTAAAAACTGGTGGAAATTTCCTTGAATATCCTATAATTTCGCTAAAGCATATAATATTGAAATGCGAGTTTTTGTTTTATAGACTTCTAATCTTACTTCGACACTTTCTAAATTCAAAAATATCTTATTACATCTTATCATATCATTAATAGTATGTAACAAAATGTCTGTATCTTAATGTATTCAATAATACACAGTGCTTACAAAGTATTAATAAAGCGCTAAAAAAGCATATATAATCGCTTTTTAGCACTTTGCAAGCGCTGCTGTGCTACTTGGGTTTACTACAAATAAATTTTATTTAACAAAGCGCTAAAAATTAGAGCAAAGACAATTCTCGAACTTTTATGCATTAAAACGTCAAATATTAAATATATTTTCATTAATATGAAATAATTATATTATAGATACACTTTTCTCGTGCTTCTCAAGATAGAATATAAAGATAACATTTCATACATTTGCATCGAAAAGCAACTTGAACGTATCTGAATTAATTAGAAGCGTTAGTATTGTAATTATGAATGCGTACGTGTGTTGGGTAATTTATTTATAACATTTTGTAATACCGGATAAATCATTAGAAAATTTGAAAACCGCAACAACAAATTATTAAAAAAAAAAAAACACGTGTGAGTAATAACATTGCAGCGATTACATGCAACGACTTCGTGAACTCGTGGGAGAACGCGGACGGACGTCGCAAGAATCTCGCACAATACCAGATTTGATGATGAGAAGGTCATCAATCTCACCTTTACACTTCAACAAAACGATGACCCGATTTACAGAATGATGCACTCCGATAACTCACACTTATCATATATCCCATTGATAATTTTTTTTTTTTTTTTTGCGGAACATTATTGGATAGGAAGATCATTGTTTACCCATACAGTTTGGGCAAATAAAGCATCATACAAATTAAACAGTTCAATGAAACAATTCCTTTCATTATGGAGAATTATGCGATTTATAATAGAGAGCTTATATTTAATTCAAACGAAGGCGATGCATGTTTCATATATTGATTAATTAAAACGTCTCAGCACTCCGTTTTTATTGTGTAAATTTTATAAGCTATTTGAAATCATATTAATAGTAATTTTTTTAATCTTGTTTTAAATTTTTTGTTAAGAAAATTTATTATAAACGTGTTAAAAATGTATTAAAAGTTTACAAAAACTAAAATTAAAATTTCTTTTCAGTTAGACAGTCCGGTTTCCGCTTCGTCTCGAAATTATAGAAAGAAATTATATCGCGTTATGCGCCTTGTATTTGTAGAAAGGAAAATTCATCCGTGCGTAAAACACGTGCTGCTAAATTTGCAATGTCCAGCCAAGTTGAGAAACTTAAAAATAAAACCAATCTATCTCACGAGGGCGGCATATACATCTGCACTATTACGATCAAATGAACTACATTAAAGAAGAATGCGCGAAATTATAGAGTGAATATGCCGCCTTTTTAAAGGCAACGTTTTCTTTCTTTGTTACACAGTGCGGCTAATTATTGAACACAATGTGCACTATAAAAATTGATATATAAATCATTGAAGAGCTCTAATACTTCATACTCCCTAATCTTTGTTGCTCCATTTTATAATTATATGTTAAAAACATTTCAGCATTTGGTCCGTCCATATATCTTTTAATTAAACGCATACAGTTTTTTTGCAATTAAACGGAGGAAGAAGTACGTGCGTTTGCAGATTTCCGCTTATAAAAAACAGTATCGTTACAACGCACTCTGAAAAGAATATAAAATATTCAAATATAAAATATTACTGTCGTTCAAAGTACATCGAAGACTCAACAGAGCGACGTGTTGCGTATTTATACGAAGTAGCAATTGCTTTTATACTGTTTTCACGATACACTGTCATTCGAACTGATAACATATTAAGGCTGTTGATATGAAAAGCCACAACAAATTCTTGGCGAAGATTTCTACTAAGGAATATATACCTATTCTTAAAGGTATCGTTGACATTTTTTTTTGAAAGATCACAGCATAGACCTGCTCCGTTTCAAAACTCAAGACACAAGCCACGCTGGAAAATCGTTGATACGTTTTCTTCCCGAAACAGAACGCACGAATAAAGCTTCTCTAATAAGCGTACACGCTATACTGATATTTATTTTTCATGTTCATGTTATATAATATCAATTCACTAGCGAATGATAATGTTATTTACAGTTTCAGTTTCCGAGATCTAACGCTGAATTAACGCAGAAAATTTCAATTGTGCTAAAGTTGTCTTTTGACTCATTCATTATAATCTACATTTGAACTAATTTACACATTTTCTCAATGAAAAAAAAAACAAGAATCTTAAAAACGTCGTCTTTTACAAGACTTATTTAACCAAGGATGTGATGAGATACGATAATTATATTCGATCTGCTATCGCGAAATCAAACAAAATGTGTGATGCGTATCAGTCGCCACCGACAGATCGACTGAATCTACGAACGAACATGCTAAGCTTTGTATCAACGTCTTATCACACTTTAAAACGAGCGAATTAAAGAAGCCTCGATTGGCGGTCTATTTGCTCAGGATTTGTGACGCATGTAATACTGTTATACTTGTCGCATATAAGACATAATGACATGTCTAGTTAAACAACTTACTATCCAAAAAATTCCGGAATCTTAAACTTTTATCTTAAACGTCGATTTCTTCTTTTTTTCTCTTGTATAATCAGCAGATCATACAGTGTTAGTGATGATGAATAAGTCTACAATTCCGCTAAACGTAAAACACAGCGCACAAAAGTGATTAAAAGTAAACGTCGTATTTGGATAATTGAGAACAAAAATGCGACATTTTAATTTATCGAAAAATGATTTATCTATATCTAATGAACTATTCCTAATAAATTTGAAATTGATATGAGAACATATATATATTCGAATATATATATATTCGAAGTATATTTTACTGAAATATAATTTATACATCATTTTTAGTTTCTATGTACATTCAATATTCATATACTAAGTATATAAGTAATTAAAAATAATTTCTCATTTTAATTAATTTTTTTATATTATTTAACAATTATGAACCATTTTAATTATGGAAATAACTCTTGCTACTTTTGTTGTTTTTAGATTTGTGAGATTTCTCTCCTCTTCGTCTTTTATTCAATGGATTTCGGGGATCGTAAATCTCGAACCAATCATCGTCTTTTGTACTGGCATCCTTGGCAAGCACTGGTGCCTTCTCTTCACATTGCAAAGCGTGTGTCAACCAAGATTCATCATGCGAATTATCATCCTCAGTATCTTTTGACGTTTTCTTATCGGAGCTCGTCATATCATCCTTCGTGTGTTCTTTGGCATTTTGAAGTTTGTTTCTGAATTGCTTAAACAGTTCCATCGTGAAATCCTCACGTGTTTTACCCTTCTTAGGCAATTTTTCCTTAGCTTTTTTATATTTTTCTTGCGTCTCTATGTATTCTTTCATTATTTCAGACTTATTTCCTTTTTTTTCGGCTTGTTGCTTTTGCTCTATTTCCTTCGCTTTCTTTTCATTTTGTACGCTACGCTTTAAATCGCGTATTTCTTTCCTTATTGCTTCACTAAAAATTTAATTTTAAATAATATAAATGCTTGTCTCTTATTTTTTTCTAAAGCTATTTTTCACATACATTTATAATTTACATAATAAAATAATGTTACATACGCCTTTTTCTTTCGTTCTTCATCTCGATCTTTTCCAAAATAATATTCAATTTCCGCATTTTCGTTTATATTTTCATCTTTTGTTTCATCGTTCTCGATTTTCGGTTTTATTTGGGAAATCTTTTTAGAATCCTTCAATTTATTCTTGATTCTTTCTTTCATAGCTCTGTTGATATAAAATTATTATAATTATATTACAGATAACATTATAACAATTATTTTGTTACATAATATTTTATTTCCACATAACTTACTCTTTTTCTTGTTGCAAAGCAGCCAATTCTTCTGGAGTTCGTGTTTCATCATCACTCTCCCAATCGCTGCTGCGATCCTCTTTGATTTTTTTACTTGGGTTCGATCACAGATTGTGAACTTAACTTTGGATCAGATAAACAGTCGTGCGCTGATTTTCCTTTGCCACTATATTGTCTGTTTAAAATTGATGACTCTTCTTCATCTTCCTCAGCTTCTTCTCCAAATGATAGTAGCTTGAAATTCCTAGCATAATTGCAAATGTATAAAAAAGATAAACATTATATTATTCAAAGTAATTATATATTTATCTTACTTTACACCAGTCTTCTTATTTTTCTTTTTCTCTGTGCTATCTTCCTTCTTTTCAGATATTACTCTTGAAACAATATCCTGGAATGGATTGTTTAAGACTTCTGTTTTTAAAATTTTTTGTGGATACTGAGGTCTATCATTCTGAAATTAAATATTTTTCATTATAAAATTATATATTAATCTTGTTTTATGTGAAGATACATTATGTATTAAATATTTACTTCATCTACAAGTGCATCTTCTAACTTAAGCATGTTGTAAATTGTTTCGCCAGTGACTTTGCCAAAGATAGTGTGCTTATTTTGTAACTCAGGTGTTGCGCCAAGTGTAAAGAAAAATTGGGAACCGTTGTCATCTTTACCAGCATTGGCCATAGCAAGCAATCCTCTCCGACAAAAACGTAATCTTGTATGAAATTCATCCTGTGAACGAACAACATAAAAAATAAAATTGATACTCAGAAAATTACAAATTATTAGAATAAATAAATAAAGAGCTAATGATTCAAGCTAAATAACCGACTTATTTATCTAATAATACAAATATAAATATAAATATAAAAACATAAAATTATAAATATTTTAACTTGTAATGTCATCCTCAATGTGGTGACATAAACAAAAAAATCAAAATGTTAAATTATGAATAATAATATAAATGAAAATAAACAGATATATAAATAAGAATACATATTATAAATAATAATTGTCAACAATATACAAAAGCAAGAAGCTAGATAACTAGCTGAAATTAGTAATATAATTGTACCTTAAAGGGATGTCCATATATGCTCTCACCACCTTCTCCTGTTCCCGTTGGATCTCCACCTTGCGCTATAAAGCCTTTCAAAATTCTATGAAATATTGTATCATTATAATAACCCTCCATGCAAAGCTGTATAAAATTTCTACAAGCCTTGGGAGCTTCTTTCGTCCATAATTCCAGATCTATATCGCCAACTGTTGTTTTCATTACCACCTATTTAGCAAAATAGAAAAATAAATTGAAAATAAAATATGTTATTTATTTAATTTATATATGTAATATAATAATTATAATAATAAATATAATAAATTACAAAGAGAGTTATACTTATGCTATGTTTTCACATTAACTAATACAGCTCTTTATTTGAAAAAAATTATATGAATTATCTCTCCCTTATGACTTTATCATATTTATTATATATATATAAAATAATTCACACTTACTTTGCCCGTAGTAGGCGGTTCTTGTATATAAATATTACTCATATTTATAACCTCTTATTACAACTAACCACAAGAAGCATAAACACAAAACCAATGAATCGACTGGGTTCAATATATGACATCCAATGTATTGTAACTATTCAAATTTCCAGTAGATGGCAGATCAAGCAGATATTTCCAATCAGCTGTTCATGACAATTTTAAAACGATATGCATGTGAATATGTATGTACATATAATTACATACATACACATGCATATTAATTAGTGAATGTATAATATAATAGCATTATTAATATTAATGATAATCAATATAATTGTTGTAATAATACTGTACATTTATAATAGATGAGATCGAGGCTAAGTGAGCACTTTTTTTTCAATTGCAATTTTCAATAACAACCTAGATAAAGTCTAGAAAAGTAAAAATTTTTTTAATGTCTACACGCTATGCCAACAAAATAACAACAAAATTAGATGTATATAATACTGTTAACAGATTGCTAGAAAAAACTTAACAGAATCTGCAATCGTCAGATAATGTCAGCAAGATCTGTTCAGTTTCTGCCAACAATTTGCCTTCACATTATATCGACAAGCGATGTTAACAGAACACAAACCTAATGCGGACGCAGTTGATGGCAGACTACCGTCATTTTCTGCTCGAACCTGCTGACAGTCTACTAGAAGACTGCAGACTATCAGGGAAAGTAAACGATTTTAGTCAAATGATTATTAGCGTTTTACAGAATGATTATAAGACTACAAAATAGCAATAAAAAATTTTGGTATTTGCAACTCCATTTCATCCATATACTTACACAAAAAATAATATGACCTCGGAAAATAAAATTTCAAGAATGTCAAAACTAAGTGCGGGCACCACATTTTTTCGATATGAAATAAAAAACGTCATTATGATCAAAAAATAAAAAATTATATTAAATTTTATTTCGAATCTTTAATTTGAATCTTCTGATTCCATACCAAACAAACAGTATTTACAAACAAAATTGTTATCAGTCGCTCAGCAAACGAGAATGGATTAAAATGGATTGAAATTTTTTTCTATCCAAATGCATATTTAAAAAAAAATAGCGAATACTTTTTTTGGATTTAATTGGATTCAATTGGATTCAATTAGATTCAATTGGATGCAATTGGAAAACTGCATTTCCTATTCAAAATTTCAAATTGAACAGTATTCACAATGCATAGAAAAAGCTATTATTTTTAGATTGAAAGGCATAGAGATATGCTCTATGCATTCCTATAAATGAATAAACATGCATTCAGGATTGAAAAGTATTCATTCGTGAATCAATATTTCTGAAAATCTAAATCCATTTCAATTCATTTCAATCCATTCTCGTTTGCTGGACGTGCGTATGCACTTGTCATGTGCAGCACGCTTGCATACGAGATACTTTTTGTTTTTGAACATGAATGTTTTCAGAACACACAACAAATGTTGCAATCATCGTCGAAATCGGACGTGGAATCCTTGGCCTTTTTCGAAAAGTGCGGCTTACGTGTTTTTTCAATACTTTTCGATGATTGCAGATCAAGGTTTGTCGATAGTATCGTTTTCTTGGGTAGACCTCTCATTTTTGAAGTATCTGTTATATTTTTTGTGGTCGCTTTTTTGATCTTAGCTGTTTCTTGCTCCTTGCCAGTTCTACCATTTCAGGTGAATTCGTGGCACATTTTCTACGTTTACGATTTCGATGCGTTTGCTTTCTCAACTCTGCTTTCAGATGAGGACGAATACTTTGAAGCGTTTCGCTCAAATTGTTAACAGAGTTACTTGCTCGAACTTCCGTCTTCTTCAGTCACCATCTATGAAATCATCAGTTCATTTTCCAACGCCTGAAGTTCAGTCAGTGATGATAGTAGTGGAACTTCAGTCTGTTCATGTTGTGACGAAGTAGATGGGCGATCTATTACACTGCTTGGTAAAAAATTCATACTCCTGGAAAAATGATGCAATGCCAGTGCATTCGAATCCTGACATAATATTTCGCTGAGTTATGGCAAGTGGTAGTATCTTACTAACAATTTTGGGAATATCATAAATTGTCATTGAACGCCCAGGATTGGATGTAATCCAAAAGTCACACTTTGCGTTCACGGATTTCTTTAATGGGCCGTAGACAGTGCGATCGAGTGGCTGAAGCTTATATAAGCAGTATAGTGGAAGCAACAAAACAATTATACTATTGGATTTGCAAAAATCTAGTCTCTTGATTGATAAGTGGGACTCGTGATTGTTTAATACAAGCAGAACAGGGTGATCGACAGAAGCACGAACATGGAAAAACACTTGGAAAAACATCAAAAATTCGAAAAAATGTTCCGCGTTCATATAACCGGATTCGCAGTCAGGTGATTCACTATTGAGAAAGTGATTCTTAAAATGTTTCCTTGAAAAAATAAAAAAAGGTGGAAGAGAATTTCCTGTTGCTGATATTGCCATTGCCAAAGTCACGAGTACGCCTCATTCAGAAGAAGTTACGCGCCCAATTTGTTTATTACCATGTCGAGCGATAACTCAATTGGGTGATTGCACTGTTGTGATTCCAGTTTCATCCATATTCCAAATATTTTGACACGAAAAATGGAATTTATTCATTACTTTTTTCAATAGTGAAAAAAAATTTTTGATGACATTAGTTGAATTAAAATTAGTAGCGCTAAATTTGTCGCTTCCAGTTTTCGTCTAGCCAAGTTCTGATGCCGTTTGAGAAAGCTACTTAACCAATCTTCACCAGCCATACGGGTGGCCTCCTAAGACACAATTAATTTTAATTTCTTTGCAAAATCATATGCTAAACTTCGCACTTCCTTTTTGTTGAAAAGCCAAAGTACATGTTATTGCAATATTCTAAATATTTTACTAGAGTCGCTTCTGCATTTGTGTCGAAAATCTGAAATAAAATGGATTTTATAATAACAAAACTCACTGTACGATGTCCATGTAGTGCAACTACTTCATTCACCTCAGTTTTTTCTTCGTTTGTATTTTTTAGCCAGTTCTGTAATGTACTTCTAGACACTTCAAATTTTTTCGCCGCCGATGCAATTTTCATATTATTCCTTTTTGACGGCTAACACAGCTCTAGACATCCTATCTTTATCGGTCAGGGATCAGTTTTACGCTTGTAATTGCGAACTATGCTGTAATTGACACGAAAATACGGTAAAAATATTGTGAATAGAAAATCGAGATTAGATAGTTTCATGCTCACTTAGTCTCGATGACTTGGTGCTCTCTTAGCCCCGAACGTATATTATAACTTTCGACATAAATAAAATTTAAAAATTTTGAAAATGAAAGAAATAACCAGGATGTGTTCAGAACATTTTTACATAAATTTACTTACCTGAACAATTCAAATTTGAAAAATAACAATCAGAATACATATTTGTTCGAACGTTCGAAAAATTGCTTTTGACTATCGAAAACATGTTTGACTATCTAAACATAACAATGCACCTAAACTAACCAAACTTCGTTGATAAAGAAGACATATGAGATGCCATCTATAATATAAATTGGAAACTCATAAGATATATTTTCTACTCAAAATTTAAATGTCAGCTTAGCCCTGGTCTCCCCTACATATAATTAGAAAATCTAATATCAATAAAATATCTAATTAAATTTGGTTTTCGCATGGCATTTTGTGTGTGTGTGTGTGTGTGTGTTTCAAAAATCTAAATTTCAATTTCAACATAAAAATCGCATAACTCTACTTTCCACATGTGTCCAAGGATCGAATGTCCGCTCTATTGATAAAACATGCACGGTATCCAAGAAACTTAGTTCTGTGAGCTGTTCTTAAATGCAGAAGAAGCTGCCCAATAATAATTTATAATTGTGTTTTAAATATATTTATTATTAATCTGTAATTGTAGACGAAATAGATATTTATTTAACATTGTGTTAGTAAAATATTTTATAAAATTATTGTGAAACAATCGATTAAAAATTTCAACAAAGTGATAAACAGCGGATTTACGTATTTGTAAACATGGACTGGAATGCTTTGGAATCAACTTTTATAGTGTGTCAATTTCCAAATTCCAATCAGCCAAATCAAATCCGACTAAAAGACTACATAAGAGATATTTATGTCCCCGAATTTTCCACAGAATGGAAACGAAATATATTAGACTTGATACCTCATGTGATCAGACGAAAACATTCTGCTTTTATAAACTCGGTATTAGATGAAGTAAAGGATATGTACATTAAAAATATGAAAGAGTTCGTTTTAAAATCCATACTGTCCTGCAGAATATATAGAGGAGAACATGTTGCTTGTGAGAAGTGTGACGTTCCTGCTGGCTTGAAGCGAAACGTTGAGGAAAATAGAATGTATGATCACGCAATATTTTTACAACGTCGTAATTTAGTTGCCAAGAGATACTTTCTTTCCTATCCAATAATCAGACATATTATGAACACGGCATATCGTATTCTACCCGCAGTAATTTGTGACTTCAAACGTTACCATAAATTTGGATTATTAACACTATGTTGTTTTCAAGATATGATCCTTAAGGATATTAAGAGAGGCTCTTTAGTGATCACTAATAAATTTTATACCGAGACATTTAATGCCGTACAGAAATCAAAACTATTAAGAAGCATCTCTGCGGAACGTCTGTCCCAATTTATGCAGTGTCTCACAAATGTATTTATTCAACAGATTCTCAATGTAATGATGAGATCAATTGATCATATAATAGACATTATGAAGGACGGCCATTTTTGTCCTCAAATCGAATTTCAGCTGATATGCGAAAATGACCAGCTTATAACAAAACCAGATATACAGAAGGTTTTTTCGACATATCACAATATTATCCGAAACATTGAAGGTATTGCGCAAGATCTGATGCCATTGGAAGAATGGTTGAACGTCAAAGCGAAGGAAAAGTACATAAAGATAGCGCTTCCTGATTGGTTTGTCGAGGAGTCTCACCGCAATTTACAGGAGATATTAGATACTTTGTTTAAATCTATGAGCGAACATGTAGCATTCATTTCCGTGGAATTTAGCGGTATATACACGTCGAGTGTCAAAAAACAAATATTAACTTTGACTTCTAAACAACCGAATTTCGACTCTTACTTCGAACACATTTGCAAGTATAATGAGTATCTAAGCAAAACGAACTCTATGGTCTCCAATTTGTATTACAATGTGGGAAAATTGGAGCAAAGCAGTGCCAAGAAATCCTTGAAGCAGATCTGCTGCAATGTTATAAGCGTCCTCACGACGGAACTCGTGAAGTATCATCAAGATTTTAATCGTTCGATTTGCGCGGACTTTGAGAATCTGAAATCTATGGCGTTGAATATTCCAAGGGACGCAAATTCTTTGACACAATTGAGTGAACGTATGTCACGAGCTTCGAAAGTATTGATAAAAGAGCAGGAACAAAAGATACGAGAATCAATCTATATGTTGAGCAAATTGTTGGAAATTACTATATTAACTGACGAACACATTGACTTAAATAAGACCACTATCAATTGGCTACACGATATTCAACCTGTGTTTGCACAAAACAATACATTGTGCGAAACTATGAAGAGCGAACTGGAAGAGGATCTTCAACGAAGAATAAATGCATTAAATTTAGAGGTTGACGCGATATTCCCGCAGCTTATCATCCTAGATGATATGGACGACATGAGCAAGGTTGGAGAATACGCGCAGCATTACAAGGATCTGATCAAGAAATACAAACGCATAGATGA